TAGGTTTATTGGGTTTCTCCCATCACAGTGCTCCCATTCCTCTGTGTTTATTTGTAACTTCTTTCTTTGTGCTCTATTGACTTGTAAATATTGTTTTTTCTCTTCTCCTTAAGTCCTTTGCATAGTTTATTCAGTGCAATGTCCTTTTTTTATGGGCACAGGAAACAGTAAATGTTATGTTTTTGTAATGAGGGAGTCAGTGGATTCTAAATGATACTTTCCTCCTGGGCATCTGTTCTCTTGACCTAAGCCTCAGCTGCCTTACTGCTTAGCACCCCCAAAAGCAGGGTCCCAACAAGACTGGATGGACCTAGGGCAAGCGGTGAGGTATATGCTACCCTGGCATCGAGATGGGCCTGGCCAAAGAGCCTAATAACTATAAGTTAAGAGCTTGGTCATGGACAAATGCTGTCATGATCCAAAAAATAATAACTAGATTCAGACCCTGCTAGGGTTAGAAATGATTAATCTGGCCTGAGCACTGTAATCTGAGTCTGTGGCAAGATGTTCCCAGGAAGAGCTGCCCTACAAGCCTTAATGTATCTCTTAGTGTGTGCATATAAAAATAACTAGTATTAAGATGTTAAAATGTTAAGAGGAATAGAAAGAGCTATGCTTGGAATATCACGCTTCACTCAAGTGAGAGAAGGAATCTGGAGTTCCAGCCTCCATCGACAATTGAGAAACAGGGATGTTGTCTCATTGCCAAGTTGTCGAAAAATCAGATGGGCTGGACACGTAATGCGATTTCGAGATGACCACTGGACTAGAGCCATTACAGACTGGATTCCAAGATGGTCAGATTTCTTCATCAAGACCCTGAATGATCAGTTTGAGGCTCTTCATGTTCCTGGACCAAACAGACGCCATTGGGCTACACTAGCACTCAACAGGGACAAATGGTGATGTTACTGGCACCTACTTGAGCAAATCGATGAGTAATGGGATGTCAAGTGATCAAGTGAAGTGTTAAGAAAGAGGTTAGGAGTAGAGGAATACCCCTAGGTGCCTTTGAGCCTGATGGGCAGTCAGGAAGGGCTTTCTTATGTTGATTTGACTGCCAGACTGGGTGTAGCATGGGCCCAGAGGGCAAGGTGTAGAGAGACAAGTTGGAGTGGAGAGACGAGTGGGGGAGAGGCAGAATCCGGAGAGCTGAGATCCAGGAATGAGGGGCTAGGAAGGAAGAATGCATGAGTTGAGGAAAGACGAGAGAGTTGGAGGAGAGGAGAGAGAAAGCCCAGGCTGCAAAACAGAGCATGGTGAAATGAGCGGGAGAAACAGGAGGAGAAGAGAATGAGGGGGAGTGTGAGACTAGAATGGGGGACTCAGAGAGACTGGAACAGGCGCATGGGGAAAATGGAATAAACGGCAACTGATCAATCAACCGGCTTGATCCTCGTTTCCTCCTTCGTCTGCCCCAGGGCCCAGGCCACCCCAGCTGAGGGAGTGGCCCGAAACTCCTGAACCCTGGCGGCCAGGGGAAGAGCTACTGAGGCTCTTCCCCTGGCTGCCTGGAGATTTTATAGTTTTCATTATTGGGGCTATACTATGGGATCGGTTGGTGAGAGAATCTACCCGCTAGTGTCAGAAAGTGCAGAGGCTGTCTCATCAAGAGACTTTTCTGACTTTTATAAACTTTCTGGAAACAATCCTAGATGACTTACTTAGCAGGAAACTAATTTACTTATAGTTCCAAACACTCACTGGAGCCTCGGATGTCTTCATGAATAGGATCAGTAGTGCATACTTACTCCTTTGTGGTTGATCTACAAAAGTACCATGAACATTTTTTGGTTTACAGGGTACCATCAGAATCTATTACTCATGTTGCTTGTCATCAATTCAGGAGGCTGGATTTTGAATTAGTGAATTTAGTTCAGTAGGGAAGTTGACTACCTTAACATACTGAACAGCCCGGGCTCTGGGACTTCTTTGGATGGGTCATGTGCTAACTAGATTGGGATCCAATACTATTGGGTCTGCTGTTCAGAAATTCCAAATGTCTAACTAATAGGAGTTAAATTCAGGAAGTAAGGGCATAAAACTAAGTGAAGATTGTTGGGAAATGTGGAGTAATCTGGGAAAGACTGAGATTCACAGGCATTGTTGAGTGATTTGTGGGAACAAACAGGAGCATCAGGAATACACACTGTGGTGTAAAAAGAATGGTGTCTGCAAGGTGGAACATAATAAATACCTACACATTTAATGTATTTATCACTTGGTAACATCCTTGGTTTCTTTCAACCTTCCTGGCATCAAATTGGGAAATTAGTGTTGAATAGAAGCCTCAAGAAGTAGACAGACTCTAGATCACAAAAGACCTATAGGCAACCTGAAGCGTTTGTCTTGTTACGATTTTATTTGTTTTTAAGACAACTGCAAATAAGTACAGGTATTTAAAAAGAATAGAAGAATAAGGTTTGCAGCATATGGAAGCAGATGATGATGACAATAGATGGTCAGGGTAGAGCTTGCTGCTAAGAAGATGACAAGCAGGTAAAATAACCCAGATGAATGATTATAAGAGATTAAACTTGGGCTGGAGAAATAGGGGTTAAGGCTTTTGCCTTAAAAGTAGCTGACCCCAGATTGACCCTGGCACAGTATAAGGTTTGCAAAGCACACTAAGTGTGAACTTTGTTTTTATTTTTCTGCTGAAGAATCTTTTATTTTTTTATTATTTTTTAAATTTTTATTAGTGAGAGACCATGAGGTATAGTTGTAGACTTACGAATTTTTGCGCTTGGGTTTCAGTTATACAATGATCAAATACCCATCCCTCCACCAGTGCCCATTCTCCACCACCACCAGTCCCAGTATCCCTCCCACCCCCCATCCCTCCATCCCACCTTACCTCTGTGGCAGGGCATTCCCTTTTGTTCTCTCTCTCTCCTTTTGGGTGTTGTGGTTTGCAAAAGAGGCATTGAGTGGCAATCATGTTTGGTCTATAGACTACTTTCAGCATGCTTCTCCCATCCTGGGAGGATCCTCCCAACACCCTTTATTTGGTTAAGTGTGAACTTTAAACACATGGGCAAGAGTAAATCCTGAGCATCAGCAAATCTGCACCCCACTTCCCCCTCAAAAAAAAAGCTTAACAAAAAACCCTCAAAAATAAACAATAGGTGTAGAAATTGAGATATGAGGTCATTCATTCACTAATTCAATAGATATTTATTGAGATACTTTTTGCCTGAGGAGGTCCTCCCTGGCAATAATAGGTGCAGAAGCCTCTTTTCATGATGCCCAGCAGCACCTTAGGGTGTTGATCACTGTATCACTGTATCACTATCATCCTGTTGTTCATAGATTGCCTCGAGCAGGCCCCAATATTATCTCCTTTGTCCTAGCTGGAGATTTTAAAAAGTGCCACATTTGAGGCTCTTTGGCGGTCAGGAGAATGAGACTCATCATTATTACTGGTTTTTGGCATATTGAATACACCATGGAAAGTTTGCCAGACTCTGCCGTGTGGGCAGGATACTTTTGGTAGCCTGCCAGGTTCTCAAGAGTAAGAACTAGATAATAAGATGTCTGCTTCCGGGAACAGGGTTTTATAGTCTATGGATCTTCGCCTTTGATGGGATTACAATGGTGCCGGGGATAGTTGGTGGGTGTGACGCCTACATTCTGGAAGATGGGGGATCTGGGTGAAGAAGGCCCCAGTCCCAATCCTAGCAGGCTTGGAGATCTCAGCCCCGGGTCCCACAGATCTGGGTTCCTCTGCCGGTTCCTTGTTCAAGCATGTGGAGAGTGGTCTCAGCATGACTGTGGCTGCTTCCGGAGGTCTTCAGGTGCCGGTGCTATGCTCGGGTTGGGGAGGGAAACTCAATCCACCCTCCTCCAAGGGGCCCCGGTGAAGACAGCCAGGCACAGAGGCTGGAAACTCTATATAAGGTATTGATACTCTATATAAAAAGGTAATACTGCTCGGGTTTTGTGGTGCCAGAGACAACCAGGGCTACATCCAATGGGACTGATAGGCAGAGAGAATATGGCATCTGAGTGCTGCAAGGAATCAAACTTAGGACCTCTTGTATGCCAGGCAGGCACACTTTCTTTTAATTACCTTCCATCCCTCGTCCAAAAAGATAGCACAGCGGGTAGGGCGTTCGCCTTACAAGCGGTCAACATGGCCGACCCGAGTTCGATTCCTCCGCCCCTCTCGGAGAGCCCGGCAAGCTACCGAGAGTATTCGATATGCCAGACACAGTAACAACAAAGTCTCCAATGGAGACGTTACTGAGCCCGCTCGAGCAAATCAACGATCAACGGGAGGGCCTTTACCTTTACCTAGAAAAATGAGCCCTATAGCCAGAAGGAACTAATGTGAAATCTAAGATTTCACTAATAAGAAATGAGTCAGATGACCTAGATAAGGCCTTGCTGGCTGAAGGTATATCCAGTATAAAAAGCATAAAGAACATCTGGGAGTGATAGTTAAGAGTGTACATGATTGCTTCTCAGTCTTCTGACTAAGACCAAGTGTAGTGTCTGTTAGGGCATGACTCTGGATCTCCGACTGCAAGCAAGGACCACGCAGAAATGCAATCAGCAAACAGGTAGTTTATTGAGCTGGCTAGCCAGGGTCAAGCCATCAGGCAAGACCCCGAACTTCTTCAAAGGGGATCTTATATAGGCCTTCACTGGCCATTACAGCAGAGCCCGCGCATTTCATGCATTTCATGGGCGGCTAGCGGTTATCTCCTAACTCAGATATGTGGTTATCTTCTATGTTTACCTGGCTTCCATAATTTACAGCTCATGGCACCTGCATTCAGGTGGAGGTGGATAAGGGAAAAGTTATTAACAGAGGTACAGATAAGGAAGGGTCAATAAATGGAGACAGAATTTACATCCCAATAATGAAGGGTCAACAAATGGAGACAGAATTTACATCTCAATTCGGAAGAGTCAACAAATGGTTTCACATCTAAGGCTCTACTAGGGAGGGGGCAGGAAAGGAAGAGTTACTAATTAGCAGAGTTTAGCTCTGGAATTTTCCTCGGGGTCCCAAGGGACCTTACAGTGTCTGTTATTATCAGTTTAATATCTGATACATCCTCTATCTGAGGACAATATATTAAATGGATTTTTGGAACTAGCAGTTGGAAAAGGAGCTTGCTCTATCCACGTCTATTCCACACATTGACCTGATATTGCAGTACCTCTAGGAATGGTGCACCAAAAAATAAATAAATAAATAAAAATGTGTAGGTGAGCAGAAAGAATTAAATGGGAGGAGAGGTGCCTAGGAGGACGATTTGAAATCTACTCTGGAAGATTTATATTTGAAGAGTACTGAGCAATCTGCTTTGGCTGTGTGTGTGTGTGTGAGTGAGTGAGTGTGTGTGTGTGTGTGTGTGTGTGTGTGTGAGTGAGAGAGAGAGTACACAAGGGTGGGGTAGGGTGGAATTCCAACACAGTACTAAAGGAGCACAGGGGGCCCTTTCGGTGAATCTCAGCTGGGTCGGCATTTCAGTGTGCCTGGGCTGCATATTCAAAGTTCAGTGGTTGAGGTATGGAAATACAAAGTCTAGTAAACCAATCAAGTTCTGGTGCAACTGTGGGAAAATGCTTACAGCTTGGGTCAACTTTGTAATTGTGAAGATATAAATATAAAAATAGACCATAGAAGAAGTTTCAGACCTTCAGTATCGTAGGAAGTGTATAATAAGAAATTTTTACAAATTTTTGAAAATATATGTCAAGGACACAAGAAGCTTTTATTTATTTATTTTTTCTAGGAGAAAAAACTTCTCTTCTACCACTCTTTAAAGGAGGTTGGTGTAGAGAAGGGGGTGGGCTTATAAATTCACTGAAAGTGGGTGAATTTACAGGTCAATTTATTTTGTCTGTAAGAACAACTACATTAAGAAGCTCTCTGAGTAGCTAAGGATAGGGGATCATATACCAATTTAATTGGGAAAGGGAATGGGCGACCAGCCTTCCACAGGAAAGAAAATAAATAGGCTTTAGAAAGACAAATGAGCTTTTAGGAGAACAAATAAAAATTTAATTTTTATTTGTGATAATAAAAAGTGGTAATTTTTTAATGCAATCTCTATTCTAGTGGGAGTGGCCTTATCGGAGTGAAATACTCCTCTAAAAGTAGAACTGGTGATTCTAGCAATCTCTCAGAAAATTCTGCTTTCAATCAGTAAGAGAAACTCAGACCTAAGTCTTCTTTACACATCTGCTGTGTTTCAAATGTCAGTTTAGGAGACCAGAGTGATAGTACAGTAGATAAAGCACTTGCCTTGCATAGGACCAACCTGGGTCCTATCCCTGGCATCACATATGGCTCCCTGAGCCAGCCAAGAGTAATTATTGAGTAAAGAGCTGGGAGTAAGGCCTGACATCACCAGGTGTGGTCCAAAAACTGAAAAGAAAACAAAAAAGAAAAAAAATGATCCAATTTGAAAAAAATCTGCAAATCTGAGAAAGTCCTCAGAATTTATTTTAATAATGGTCAGTCAAGAAGCTCAGGGCCTCATTTTTGTTCATACATGAGAGATTCAGACAGCACATTCAGGAATAGGGACCCAGGGGCCGAGGGGACCATAGTGCTGAGGGTGGCATGCTCAGGGATAGTGGAAGAGGAGCCCCGGAGTGGGGGAACATGACCATAATCGAGTCACGGTATCACTTCTGGCTGCTTCACTAAGACACTGTTGGTAGGAGAGGGTCCAAGCAGGCCAGGATTAGTAAAGTCAGTACAAGTTCTGAATAGGGTGAACATTAAGATCCTGCCAACCTCACCAAACTCGCCATCAAACTGTGCCTAAAACACACTTGATCTACGTCTTGGAGCCTAGTCCTGCCAGCCAAATTATGAGGACCATGATGTTTTCCAATTGAGGCTGCACTTTATCTCCATAATACAAACAATATAATTTTTATTTTGCAGAGTTCACTAGGTATTAGACAACATACATACATTATTTTATTTTTCTCTTCAGTAATATAGGGTAGTGGAGGTATTGTGACTCTTGCTAACACTTAAAAAACAAAGTGTAGAATGCTTTTAAAAATCTAAGAGCACAGAGCACAGTGACAGTGGAAAGTTGGAATCCAACTCTCTGATTCTAAACTTAATCTCCTTATTACACATTATGCCACCATAGCATGCTGTATGATTGCTTTAAGAATTAGATTTAATTAAACATAATATATATATGTTGACTGGCATAGTTTCTGGCATAAAGAAGGCAAATGGAAGCTACTAAATAATTGTTTAGTTATGAAGAATAAACTAAACTCCACTTGGTTCTCTCTCTATGCTAATTTTTTGTTGAGATTAAATCTCATAGAATAAATGACATTTGCATACAAAGAATTCAATAGAAACTCACACATTATGTATTGTGAGAGTAAGAAGTACCTATTGCAGAATAAAATTTATAAATTTATAAAATAGACCACAAAAAATGAGTTTGCGGAGGTTTTGAGTAAGTGATGGGAAAAAATAAAAATAAAATAAGATGTCATTACTGTTTTTAATGATCCTTGTAGATTTATACCCATTTTCATTTCAGCTTTCTAGTGGCAATGACTCATGGAACAGGTATAAAGATGAGAATCTATTTAGACAAAAAAATTCTATGACAAATTTTTGGCTCTTTTCTTGCATTTTTCTTAACTGGAATGGTTTCTACTTCAGAGACAAAAATCTCCTTCCTGTTGTTTTTGGAGAGGGGAATTTTTTTTCCACATCCAGCAGTGTTCAGGACTTAGTTCTGGGTCTGTGTTCAGGGACCACTCCTGAAAGGGTTCAGGACACCATGTGGTATGCTAGGGTTCAATCAGGATTTGCTGTATCCAAGCATGCTTCATGCTCTACCCTCTGTACTACTGTTTCAGCTTCAAAAATCTTCTTAGTTCAAAATATGCATTTGCCTATTCTCCTGGGATATAAGGAATTATCATATGCCCTCAGAGATAAGTTCTTTGTTGTTTCTCAAAACAACAAGTGTTTTGTTGTTTTTATTCTACTGACAATAACCAGTCTCTAAGAATGGTGTACCAACTATAATTTATACTAGGATGAGAAGGTGATGGTAGTAAAGAAGCAGCTAATCACAGCACTTTTTGTTTTAGTTTTATTTTTTTCTGAGCTGGTTCTTAGCTTTCACTGAAGAAAAATTCTTTTTCTCCATATAATGGCTTTTATTTATTTATTTTGCTTTTGGGGGGTCACACCTGGCATGCACAGGGGTTATTCCTGGCTCTGCACTCAGGAATTACCCCTGGAGGTGCTCAGGGTGATGTAGGCAGGTAGATAGGGAAAGGCTCTCGGCAATGAAACAAAGTCTCATAGAAGAAGAATTCTAGGACCAACCCACCCTGTGGAGACAGAGAATAAAGACTTGATAAGACCATCCCCAGACCCTGAAGATATGGGCCTCCTCCCCATGAAATTCCTCCTTTCAGAGAACCCGCTTTTAATCCGGTTGACTCCAGCGACCCAGCCCCAAGGAGATTCCAGGACATTCCAAGTCAGAAGATTCTCTAACCCCCTTTCAATCCGGTTAACTCCAGCGACCAAGCCCCAAGGAGATTCCAGAACATTCCGAGTCAGAAGGATCTATAAGAGCCAGCTCAAGAGCCCAGTTGGGGCTCTCTCCACCCTCGGAGAAGCGCTCCCTCCGGACGCGTTACTCTTCTCTCTCTCTCTCTCTTACTCTCCATTCCCCCGCTTATCTGCTTATCCCTTTCTCTCCCTCTCCAAAAGCCTCCAAATAAAACCTGTTACTTCACTGCTCTTCTACTCCTGAAATTCTTTTCTGCGAGCGAGACAAGAACCCCAGAGACCTCGGGTATGGCTTGGGACTGGCCTCTCCTTTCCTGCAAAGAGCAAATTCTCGCCCCAACTTGAGTCTGTGGCTCCCCGAGCAATCGGGTGGTGGGGATTAACTCCTGTGAGGAGAAGATTAAGTAGACTTCAGGTGTGGCTTGACGGCCACCTTGTGGGGCTGGTGGGGCTTAGGCCCGTGCCGAGCAGGTGCTCACTGCAGACTTTACCGGTCCTAGCCTACCCAGGGTCCCGGGAGACAGAGGCGGGTGGGGAGAAAGTGACCGTCTTTCTCCTCCCCACTTCACATAAGTCACCCGTGGGGCCCACCGACATCAGATGGCGACCACGAAGGGACTGGCAGTGAAGAAATCCACGAGGAAGGAGGTAATCTGTGGGAAATCTGCTGTGGAGGTATGCTCCCTTGGAAATCTCTAGGGGGGAAAAGGGGGAGGAATGTGATAACCTCTGTGTGAATGTGTGTGTGTATAGCACCCTGATAGGAAGGCCCACTAGTGAGTAGATCCTGGGAAAACTAAGGCAGATCAATTTCTAGGTAGAAATCCCTTTCCCCAAGCAGAATCAGCTAGAGGTCAATTCAAATGCTAATGGAGGCAGTCAGCAGGTTTAGCCCTAGGCAAAGTGAAGCAGAGAAAAAAAAGAGGTAAAAAGACAGGCAAGAAGTTTGTGGAAGAAAGCGTCAGCAGGGACCATTGGAATATGTGGCAAGCTAAGAAAGGCAGAACTTTTCTCTTCTCCCCTTAATAGGCTTCTTGGAAACCCATGGCACTCTAGGTATGGCTCCACACGTGCAAGCCATGGTCGTGTGGACGCTCGGGAGGCAGGACCCAGGGACTCCTGGGGTGACTCAGAAATCTCTAAAGGAGACGTCCTTTAAAGAGAGATTTTTCTGATGGGCTGGCATGCAGTTGTGGTCCTGTCCGCGCTCTCTCTAGAACCACAACACCACGGGCCGGCATGCAGTTGCGGTCGTGTCCGCGCTTCCTCCAGAACCACAGCACCACGGGCCGGCATGCAGTTGTGGTCATGTCCGCGCTTTCTCTAGAACCACAACACTAGAAACTATTAGGAGGAGAGCTTGCTAAGGAAATATCCTACCCTAGATTTTTCTTTTCCCTCCCTTTCATAGGTTATTGCTGACACTTAGGAGATATGGGAAATTCTACATCAGTACCTAAACATTCTCCTTTGGGTTGCTTGTTAAAACATTGGAGGAACCTGAAGCTAGATAGCTTAAATAAGAAACGTCTTGTTGACCTCTGTAACACCACGTGGCCTGAGTAGAAGCTAGAACTTGGGGAAAGATGACCAGTGAATGGCAGCTTGCATTACCAGATCATTTTGCAGTCAGATCTTTGCAGGTAACAAAACAAAT